ATTTACCTCGTGAGCCTTGTTTGAGGGAGGGATTGTTGGGGCAAACAAGTCCCACATCGGTTGTGGGAAGAAAATAAATCCACCATATAACCCAAGTGGGCTACTCCACCCATTACCAATTGGTTTTGGGATGGAACCTCACTTGGGCCGGTGGTGTGGGTTGGGCCTTGGGTAATTGTTCTCAATAATTTCCTAACAATAGTCTCATCACTCTCACAATCTGCCTCTCTACTAAGCTAAGTTCTCAATATTTGAAATTTGAAGACACAAATTCGTATGGCAGTTCAGATCCCGAAACTGCTCGGATCATTTTGGCTGTTTTTCAACCACAAATGATCTGAAACTGTCCCAATGTTCGAACACAATGGAAAACTACTCGTAATCATCTCCCTCATGTCTAAAAATACATTGAATTGGAGGACTGAAGTCAGTTGGATAGCAAGGTCTTAATGTTGTCGAACAATTGCCTGCATCAACCCATCAATCAATGCCAAATCTGACCTGCATCCCAAAATTCCGTCATGCAATGCAACCATCAAGTAAGTCTAGCATCGTTATGCCTCTGTTACCTGTTGATTCACATTTCCAACCTGATGTCTTGCTTCATTCCTTCCCAAATTTGCGCATTTTCTGAACATCATGCCCGCCTTCGACCATTACATCAATCAAGACATCACCCTTCAAAATTGGTTGTCATAAGCCAAATCCTTTAGTTCTCGGCTGACGCATAATGCATATTCCACAACTATACCACAACAAAATATGGATTTATTATTTATGAAGTATGAAAGCTATTGAAATGGTGGATGTCATTATCCTAAATGTGTGCACAAATTAGCAATTCGGTTCATCTGAAGCTCAAACAAGAATTCACATTTCAAGATTGGCGTGCTCAAATAAGTCACACCTTGTGGAAGCATGATAAGGAATGAATTTAACATCGAAGACTGACCTATTAAGTTTAAACCGGCAGTTCGATCCGACTAACACTCAAAACAAGCATATGAATTTCAATATTGATTTGCTCAAATTAGCCCCCATTTTGTGGGGTCATGTTAACGATAAATTCTACATCGAATAAATATAAAATGTTGACCAACATAAAAAGATTGATTACTCCTCTTAACAAAATGAACATTTGATATGAAACTTCAAGTTTTTACAATTTTTATCGTAATGCTAGAGCTTCATTTTTTTCTTGAGCAAACATTATTTTGTCTACAACATCAAAATCTCTAGATTCTACTCACATACACAATTGTCCATATGCAGCCTCTGTGTTATACTTTTAGATACCTAAGATTCTTCTTATAATAGGATGATTTTGTAATTGATACAAATTTTTTTGCCTTTTAGAGGTATTTGTAACTAGAAAATTTAAGTTATTTTTCATATTCCTTTCAACAATTGTGTTAACAAAATTTTTCACTTTATAATTTCTAAGAAGCCAATGAAAATTTTGCTAACAAAATAGCTAGGTCAGCCCGTAACTTTTGAGACATTCTTGACGCACGATTCTGTTACCTTTTTCATGGCGTTGGATAGCTAATCATTTAGACAAAGATTTAGGTTTTTTTATATTTATAGTTTTATTAGAGAAATCATATACCCGGGACCATGCATGTAGGGTCAGGGGCGGACTTGGGACTTTTGATTTAAAAAAGTCATATTTGGTATCAATTGAAATATAAATTTTAATCTAAATCAAAGTTAACAATTAATTTTAATAACATATTTCATGGAATCCATAACTATTTAACATTTATCAAAATTTATTAAAAATTTGATTTTAATTTCCATTAAATTGGGACAAAATCACAATAAATTTTAATTTTTCTCTTTTTCTCTCACAAAATCTTAAATCTCCATCAAACAAGGGCGAAATATTGCATTTTAATACGATTTCGAAGTGTTCACAGTCTAGCTTTCTATGTCGTTAATAGCGTACGAAACGATCAATCGTAGCAAATGCTACGACTTGTCAAAGCAAGCCGTTCAAAATTAGTATTTCGAAAATTTCGATAATATGTTAACTTTAAAAATTCTTCGACGATCGTACGCTAATCGAATCTACAAATTGCTTATGTCATCTCAAAACTTATTTCGATAACTAAATTATAGGGATATCAAATAATCTAAATATATATCGAAAATTGTTAAAAATGCGTTAAACGTGAGTTTTAAAGAAAGATGTTTAACTTGCATTTTCTTTTAAAAAATTCAATTATTTCATTAATATTTATTATTTTTGCAATACAAATTTCTCAATGTAATTTTCATCATTTTAATTGGAAATTTTATATGGAATATGATTTCAAAATTTTTCAAAATTTTACATCCAAAAAAGTCATATCCCATGTAAATTTTCGGATGTAAAATNTAAATTTTCGATTGTAAAATTTCTCCAAATTTCTTTACAAGTTCAATTGTGTCCCCCAAATTTTAAACTTCTGCGTCCACCCCTGTGTAGTGTTTTGAAAGTATCATCGTGTCGAGTCAGATCGGACACACAAAATATTGGAATGTCCCAAGCTTAGATATTATACCTCATTCAACCGTCCAAACATGAGACCTGATTTAATATGGCACTACCTACTCTGTATATAAACTCAATTGATGGTACATTAAATTCATTTTTAATTTCTGAGCAATACAAGAATTATGTTGATGAGATAATATAAGGGGATTTGTAGCGTACTTCCGAGCTAGATTTCAATATATTCCTAT